GTCATATGTTGTATAGGTTATGAAATCAATATTTATGCATTCTATAAGAAGACTTTGGATGAGAAAAACACAATACAAAATAGTGGAGTGATGAACAAATCTTCAATCCCCGAAAACGGAGTTAAAAACTTGTTAACCCTCGGCAAGTGTAACCGAATCGTATCAAGTAATAAACCTGATAAGACCAAGTATCGTTCTCCCAAAGGACTCACGACCTAGACAGTTGTGTGATTTTGTTGATTAATTAAGACTTGTGAACAAATTGGTGTAAGTTTCAAATGCAAAAGACTGAAAAATAAATATGTATACATGTGATGATCAATGGGTAAAAAGAAACAAAACACGTGATTTGAATTATAAGAATGAATATGTTGTTGGGGTTTATCAATTTCATCCTATCCACTCTCTTGTATTTAGGAATTCATCATTCTTTTCATTAATATTAATGCCACTTTCTAAATTATTTTAAACCCGATGTCTCGGTGAAGAAAGCCTATCCTTACTTATGAGTTCATAGAATTCCTAGCATCCCTAATAATTAATTCTGAAGCACAGAAGCTTAAAGGCAACCAACCATCATACTCTTATGTTTAGGTTTGTAATATACTATTGGGAGAGATTCCCCAGATCTAGATTTCCCCGTATGTGTCCATATCGATAAAACCAATAATCGTGACATCGAATGAGTTAAACAATGCATGCTTTGAGCAAAGAGGAAAAACCCTAATTATTAATGAAAGAAAGCATGTATCATAAAAATGATCTTGAATAACAAATTCCATACAAGAGAGTATCTAAGGATTTACATTGATTCCCCAACAACAAAATAAGTTTAGTTCACCATATTCATGGTGAAACTAGATGAAATACAATGGAAAAGTGAAGGATAGAACCCTAGAAAGTTGAGAAAGGAGCCTTAGCATGCAAAATCCTCCTCCAATGGGTGAAAGAGTGTGTTTTTGCTTCGTCTCAATCAAAGATACAAAAACTAGAACGTCCTAAAGCTTATATAATATTCTAAAAATTACCGAAAAGTAGGCCCAAGCCTAGGAAAGTACCGCTCAGCGGTAATAGCACGTGACCAATTCTTCCCCTCAACGGCATTTCTCCCCTCAGCGGTGTCAACGGGTCTTTGAGAGTGCCGCTCAGCGGTAATTTGCGCTGAGTGGTACTTGCGGTTTCTCTTCTTTTGCACTTTTTGTGTCTTTTTCTGATTCCATCTCTATCCCTTTTCACTTCTTTCATCAATTTCATCTCAAAACCTGCAAAAACAAGGAAATCAAGCATAAAACCTGTCCAACTCTCTTATTTCCAATAATTCAACAAAATCATGAGTTCAAGCTAATTTCTAAGTCATAAAGGTTGTAATTGAAGTCAATTTTAAGTATAAAAATAACAGTTTTTCAACTGTTATCACAACCCCAAACTTAGAACTTTGCTTGTCCTCAAGCAAACAAGATGTAACTCAATCTTCCACCAATCCATACAATGGTTCACTACATTTAAAAATCCTTCTTTCAAGACAAGTAAATACTGAATTTAGCTCATCACCAAGACTTCAATCAAGATGTGCACATGCTTTTAGTGTTCACTCATTCACATAATATCCAACAAATGCTATTATCATGAATGATCAATCAACTAAGCAAAGATGTTCTTATGTGTTCATGGAATCTATCCTCACTAGATAAAGTGTTTCACTCAAACACACAAGTGTATAGGAGATATTCACTCATTCACTCTACTATTACAATGTCACATGAATCAACTTCCCAACAACCCCAAACTTGAACATTTATCAATACCACAAGATATTACAATAACAAAACAATTGATTAAAAAGAAAGGGTTAGAAAGTTGGGTTGCCTCCCAATAAGCGCTTCTTTAACGTCACTAGCTTGACACCATCTTCATCATCATAGCATTCATCAGTAGATGCTGTCAGTAACATCCATCAGTAGATGTTGTCAGTAACATCCATCAGTAGATGTCTAATCACATAGCATCCATCAGTAGATGCTAATATTTCTTATCTTCATTAGTATCCCTCAGTAGACATCAATCTTTCTCATCTTCATCGACACCCATCAGTAGATGCCTAATCACCTAACATCCATCAGTAGATGTCTAGTCACCGTCCTCTTCCATAACAGCATCCATCAGTAGATGTTGTCATTCATCATCCTTATCATAGCAACATCCATCAATAGATGTTGTAGAAGCATCCATCAGTAAATGCTATCATTATTGCCGTTAGAAGTAGCATTTAACCTTAAAAACTCAAACACACAAAGAAAAAAAATCAAATCAAAACCACACAATTAAATCAACTAAAAAGAAAAGTTCAGAAAAATGGGCTATCATTCATCGTAGCAGCATCCATCAGTAGATGTTGTTATTTGAATCCTCTTAGCATCCCTCACTAGATATTTTCCAGCATCCATCAACAGATGTTGTCATTACTGCAAAACAAAATCAAATCCACACCACACAACTAAAAAAAAAAAATCAGAAACTGGGTTGCCTCCCAACAAGCGCTTCTTTAACGTCACTAGCTTGACCCACTACAATTGCCCTATGCCTCAGTTGTTCCTTTTTTGGATATTTTTTTTGTTGAATTTTTTCAGGAATTTAATATAACCAGGAACCTGTTGTAGTGTCCCAATCATAGGAATTTTAATCTCCAATTTCTTGAAGATTTCCATGAAACACTCAAACTGTTTTTTCCTTCTCCTTCCTATGATACTTCTTTGGGTGAGGAAGGGGTTTTTCATATGATTCTTTCTTTTTTCTCTCATCCTCCTTCTCTCTCTTTTTCCTCCTTGGAACACTCCTTATGGTACATAAGATTTTTCTCAATTTTTTTTTTTTCTCTTTCAACCTCTTTTGTTTCTTTTCTCTCTTCTTCCACATTCTTCCCCTTTTCTTTTCTCTCAACCTCACTTTTTCTCTCTTCTTTTTCTTCCTCTTCATTTACATCTTTCTCTTTTTCACTCAACATTTCTTCTTTTCTCTCTATTTTTCTCTCATCTAAAACTTTGTCACTTCTAGTGCTAATTAATAACTTGATATTCTTCCCTAGGGTTAACTTCCATATTGCCCCCAAAATCATCCAGCTTCTGAAGTATGTGACCAAGCTGCATGTTGATCCTTCTGAATACTGCTTGAGTGCTTTTATGATGAGAATCAGACATCTGCATTAACTGTTGAAGTGTGTCATCCATCTTAGCCATTGTTTTTTAAAGAGAGGGTTGTTGCTACCATTGTTGTTGTGGCAGCCTATCAAATTGTTCGACAACTTACCCAAATTGACTTTGACCCATGTTTAAGTGAGGTTTCCACCAGTGGTTGAAATTACCTTGGTGGAATTGAGTGTCCATATAGTTAACTTCTTGTCTGCATTGCATCCTACAAGCACTAGACACAAAATCCTAGAAAACACTATTAGCACAAAAACAAAAACAAACAAAACAAAACACAAATTAAAAATAGGATAAAAATAAAAATAAAAATAAAAAATAAAAATAAAGTCAAAGTTAATCAAGAATCACACAAATAGAATAGTTTAAACCGTGAGTCCCCGTCAACAGCGCCAAAAACTTGTTGATGAATCAGTAAGTGTACCGAATCACACAAGTAATATAAAATGGTAAGACCAAGTATTGTATCCCAAAGGATTCTCGGCACTAGATAGTCGTGTGATAACTTGATTAATTAAGACTTAAAGAAAACGAGATCATTGGTTTCAAATGCAAAAACAGAAAATTAAATATTAATGCAGTTTGATCAATAGCAAAATAGCACAGTGATGAACGGATGTTGTTTGTAATATGAGATGAGTATGTTGTTGGGTTTAGATTTCGCCAAGTTCCCTCTCATGTATGTAAGAATTGTTCTTTATGCATTAATGTTAACGTCACTCACTAAATTACTTACCCTTTGTTCACTTGAATGGAATTGGGGGAGAGTAATTGAGTGGATTTGAAGATAAATTTTATTGTTGTTTATTTGAGTGAATTTAGAGGTAAACGAGAGTGAATTTTGAAGCAACGTTTGTGAGAATTAGTGTAGGATTTGATTGATGTGACAAATTAAAAAAGTTTACTTCCAAATCCACTCTCACCTACCTCCAAATCTACTCAAATAAACAACAAAAAAAATTATTTTCAAATCCTCTCAAATTCATTCAATCACTCTCCCCTAAATCCATTCAAGTGAACAAAGCCTTAAACCCAATCCCTCAGCAAAATAAGTATGTCCTTAATCACTAGTTCATGCAATTCATAGCATTTCTAGTAATTAAATGTGAAGATCAAGAGCTTGAAGACGACCAAGACTCATACCCTCATCCTTGAGAAATATTACTCTTGGGAGTAATTCAACAAGAACCTGAACTGTAAGGAACCTCCCAGCACTCATGCAATTCATACACCACGCTATGAATGGGCTAAACAAAGCATTCAATAATCAGAGATGAATTACTCTAACAATTAATGAAAAAGCATATGTTATTAAGAATCAATTCAAATACATGAGAGTTCACAAGGTTACATCATTCCCTAACAACAAATATAGTTTAGTTCACCATAGACATGGTGAAACTAGATGAATAATGTAGAATAATTAGATAGAAAAACCCTAAAAGTAGAAGATGGAAGCTCTTGCATTCAAATCTGCTTCTAGAGAGTGAAAGAGTGTGGTGCTGCGCTCCTCCAGCCAAAGATACAAAACCTAGGGCATCTGGGTCCTTTTAATAGAGTCGAATCCAAACAGAAAATCATGATTTCAAGCAAGTTTTTAAGCAGAAAAGGATGCATTTAGTATCAAAATTATATCACAGATAACGATATTTTCAACCGATATCACTCATCCAACTAAAACATTGTTGCATTTTGACCACCACTATTATTTATAAGTTAATTGGATGCTTTTAAGATAAAAAAAATTCAACCTTCTTTATAAGTTATATAATTTTAAACATATCTGAAAGCATAAATTTGAAACATACAAAAATTATTTTATTTGAACGGTAGATATTACTATTGAAAAAACACAACATTTAGTTTATTTGAATTTTAGATATATAGAGAATTTAAATTTCTTCGTCCAACAGCGTGGGAATACTTTGTTCGTTTCTGAAAAAGTTGTAAGGATCAACCCTGGTCTTCACGGTAGCCAATCTCCTGAAATTGTTACCGAAATACTTGAGACCCCAAATACTTGCTTGATCGTAGCTTGTATAACCATTGTTATTAACCCCAATGTCAAGGTCTCTGTAATTCACATATGCAGCTCTTGGGGAGTTTGAAACATAAGGTTCCATATATTTATACAGTTTTCTAATCCAATTCATGTGCCTTTGTGCAGCCTCGTCCCCTGCAGTTTGCCAAATGGTCACGTAGTGCATATGAAATATGTATCCAGATCTGTGTGCGAATGGAAGTTCAGATTCGGAAATCTCATACATTCTGCCTCCATAAGGAGCGAATTGAACCTGGGAATTTTCAATCTCATCGTCATAAAGAAAGCGCCATAATCCTCGTAATCCGTCAACAGAAATAGGTTGCATTACATAATCAGATTTTGCTTTGAAATAACCTGAATAAATTTGAGTTCTGTTCAGCAAAACCTCTGGGGCTTCGAGGGTTGTAGTTACAATCCACGGAGAATTCAAGAAGACAACTGAGCCAATCCAACTAGTCTCAGTACAGTCTTTTCTGTCCAAACCCAACTCCGGTAAACTCTTTTGCATCAGTGAAACAAGTTCTTCTACACCTCCTAGAAACGTGGAGACAAAATTGACTTGTATTGTCTTCTTTCCATATTCACGTGAGGGTACCTTTGTCATGTCCACCCTAATGTATATACGGTCGTCCAATTTACTCGCCACAACCTGCCACTTTTGAAAGATCTCGGTTGCATTCTCTTCCAATGTTCTTTCAACGTTGAATACTGTCACAGTTGATGGAACTGGAACTAGTTTTATCTTCCAAGCCACGATGACTCCAAAGCTTGCTCCACCACCTCCTCTAATTGCCCAAAACAAATCCTCACCCATGGCTTGTCTGTCAAGTAGATTACCATTCACATCTACTATTTGAGCATCTACGATATTATCTGCGGCAAGACCGTACTTACGCATCAAGAATCCATAGCCACCTCCACTGATGTGGCCACCAGTGCCCACACTATAGCACACACCAGCTGGAAACCCAAGTGTTTTGCTTTTCTCGTAAATCCTGTAGTAGAGTTCTCCAAGGTGTGCTCCAGTTTGAACCCACGCTGTTTGATTTTCTGCGTCAACTGTGACTTCTCGAAGGTTTATGAGGTCAATGATGACAAAGGGAACCTCGGCAACGTACGAGAGACCCTCGTAATCATGACCTCCACTTCGGGTTCGAATTTGCAGGCCATGACGTTGGGAGCACATTATGGTGGCCTGAATATGAGAAACTTTCACTGGCGTAACAATGACTTGAGGTTTTGAGACTATGTTTAAGAACCTAAGATTTTGAATGGTAACATTTAGGACAGAGGAATATGAAGAGTTTGTTTGGGTGTAAAGAACATTGGAGATTGAGTTGGTGATATGGGGATAGTTGTAAAAACATTGAACAAACTTTTCAGGAGTATCAAGTGAAGGAGGTTCAAATGAAAATAAAAGAGCAATGGCAGTAGCGAAGGTAAAATAGGAGCTCAGATGCTTCATTTCTGTGGATGTTGCTGACATGAGAAGTGCAAAGTCTCTAATTTATAATAGTCTGGAGTTTGATATTAACATCCACTGTTTCGCTTTCTCTTAGCATAAAAACGCAATAGAAATAAAAGAACAATAGCAGTGAAGAAGGTGAAGGTTAAATAGGTTCGTTGTTGATATGAGAAGTGCAATAAGGGAAAGTAAATTGTAGTCCGGAGTTTAACGTTAACATCGTGGATACTAGATTTAACTACCAATGCATGCACCAAAATAACACACATTTATATTTATTTTATTAGACACATAAATAGTCACAAAAATTATTTTTTTATTTTAAAAAAAATATAAAATATAAAGAAAAATAGGGTTAAGTAAATGCAAACGATTTATATATTTTAAAATATCATTTCTATATTATTTTAATCAATGTTGACTAATGTTAACAAAAGTGAGAAAGATTATTTTGTCGGCCTTATATATAAAGAAGGGTTAAATATGTTTTTGATCCCTTAACTTTTAGTGAAAATTGGAATTAGTCCCTCTTCAAAACTTTGGACTAATTTAGTCCCCAAACTTTAGAAATGTGTGAATTTAGTCCTTTTAACCAAATTTTGTTAACTTTATTTGATGTTTCAAACGCATTTCTCCGTTAACATTGAAGCAAAAATGTGTCAAATGGTATAAACAACTCAAATGCTATCATGAAACGCACTTGAAACATCAAATAAACCTAACAAAATTTAGTTAAAAGGACTAAATTCACACATTTTTAAAGTTTGGGGACTAAATTAGGCCAAAGTTTTGAATAGGGACTAATTCCAAATTTCACTAAAAGTTAAGGGATCAAAAACATATTTAACCCTATAAAGAATAAAATACATGCTTAAGTCACAACCTAACTCAAAACTAGCAAGAAATATTTTTTTGGGTACTGATACTTTGAGAACAAAAAAATAAAATTATATTTATTTAATATTATAAAATAATAATATTTTAATCATATTTATATTAGTTTTTTAATTTAAAATTTTAATATATATTATTATATTATTAAATGAGAGTGTTGAATATTTTTAAAGATAGTCTCAAACAAAGTGTTTTTTTTCTAAGGAGTGGTGGTATTTGACTCCACATAAGACAAAATTATATTTATTTGATACCGAAAAGTAATAATATTTAATTATCTGTATATTATTTCTAATTTAAAAGTGTATTATATATTATTATATCATTAAAAAAACGTGCGAAATAAATGTGTATTTTGTAGACCATATTAAAGAAGAAAAATAATCATTTATTGTACGACAATATTTTACAATCTTGACATTATTTTTTTATTTTATAATAAATATTAAAGTATATTTTTTTATAATTATTTTATTCGTATAATATATATCAAATAAATATAAATATAAATATGTGTTTCTTTCCCTCATAAAATAGTTTTCTACGTTGTAAATAGCTGTCGACTCATAGGATGCAGCTTTTTACTGAAGAAAAGTTACTTTCAACATACAAGGAATTCAACCAGCGATATTCAATGCTTACTATTGCTATTTACACTATTCACAATTTTCTAATAACCTCTTTTTCCATTTACAGATCCTACATTAATGAATTCTTTCTTAATAATATGAATTTTATAAATTAACGGTTATCATCAAATCATAATCATGAAAAAGATTTTAAAGATAATTTTATCAATAATGTTAAATGAGTTAAAATTAAACAAGTATCAAATTTTCAAGTTCTATCAAATGTAAAATACTATAATCACTTCATAAATATTTTTAAAATTATAAACAAATTGTTGGAAAAATTCAAATGAAATATTTTAGTGACGTAGAATTTAATAGATTTCTCCAATAAGAAATTAACACTATTAAATCACTGTAAAACAATATTAAACTATTTTTTGTCTCAACTTTTAAACATTTAAGTATACTATAAGATAATATTCGGGATATTTTTTATTTTAGAATAAGGATATTTAACATAATTTTATTTTTAGAAAATATATTAAAAATTTAGAGAAAAAATATATTTAAGTTATTCTTAACCAACTAGTAAACATTATTAGAGTATTGATGTATGGAAAAGTAGCATAAATTTGTTGCAAGATAAAATATGTCCTTGTAAAAATAGGGAGTTTGTGGATTAACTAAATGGAGTTAATATACTTTAATTTGTAATGTCAAAAATTGTTTTATGTGGAAGATATATATTATTTATGTGGAGAAAATGAAAAATTAAATAATATTACACCAATGAAGCTTTTATAGCATATTAGTTTTATCAATACAACTAATTTTATTGTTAAATTCTATAAAAAAAAGATAAAGATTAATTATGTTTCTAGTTTATAAAATTAGATTTATGAACCGAAATTCATTCATTTTCCATATATTTTGATCATCAAATTTTAAAAATAAAATAATATAATTTTATGAACTAAAAACATGTTTAATATAAAAAAATATATATAATATTAACTAAATGAATTATTTACATATTTTTAAAGTTATATATTATACTACTTTTAATATATATAGATATATAAATAAGATATTAAATATTTTTCATAAATAAAATTTTATAAACATAATACAACATATTCACTGTGAATTATCACGGGAAAAATGTGACTGAATTATAAACCAGTTTATGTACGTTGCATACTTTGAACCACCACATCTTCACCATGAATTTAATATTACGTGTCTAAACGAGAGCCAAAAGAAAAATGTAGTGGGCAAACATATCATGCCTGTTACTTGGATTGCATATTCTACGCTGGTTTTGTTCATAGTAAACACTCACTGTATACATATGTTTTGATGACAAACATTCAACCTAACAGGTATTATTTTTGTAGTTAAATTACTCTTGGTCTTATTATAATCTTTAAAAAAGTCTTCATGATCATTAATTTAATATTTTTTTAAAGTATCTGAATATTAAAGTATTATTAAATATTAAGAATGTTTACTTACATAAGTATATATTTTGAGTTAAATACAAGAAAAAAAAAATATTTGAGAGTATATTAGTGAAATAAATCCATTTTGACTTGAGTTATGGCTTTCATATTTGATTTTCTTTAAATTCAAAAGATTGTTCATGATAACTTCAAGTTCTGTTTTCTTGCTCCAAGTTTCACTGTCTTGCTCTTCCATCCGGGAGAGAACCTGTCAAAGATCCTCCGATGACAAAGTCAGTATACGAACAGTTCAACAATTCAATAGAACAATAATAAATGTGCAGTAAATGCAACCTATCTACCACTTACCTTTGACATGTATTTATAGTTTTCGCCATGGGCTTGGGATTAATGAAGAGTTAATCACGGTCCAATTTTAGCCCAATGGATCTAATCGTTGTTTACCTTAATTATGGTCTTAATGATCCAGAGAACCTACCGGCCGGTCTTATAATAACCGTCCGATTAGGTTGATTCAGCATTGCTTTTTCTGGACCGTCCGGTTCGTATGGTACACAAGCCCCCCAAGCCCTAGTGCACGTAGTGAACGTTGGGTTTAGGGTCGGTTGATATCTTGGTTATGGGTGCGGGGGCTCCTGTTGTTGACCGTTCGTCCTCGACATTGGTTGGGTTGGAGGGCGCTCAACTTGGCTACCGGCTCGACTCTGTTGGGCTCTTGTCTCTCACCAATTTTTGAAAATGGGTTTGGGCGGGAATACACATGTCGTGCACACGGAGGCAGAAGTTGAGGCGTTCCCGCATCTGGACCGTTAATCGTGATAATTTTTGACGATGAGGATGCATCGACGGTTACCAAGAATTTTTCTATAAATAGGCGAATGGGGATGCTGTCATTTTCACTCTCACTTCTCTTACTTCCGACTGTTGATTATTCTTTTTCCCTCAGGTAATAAATGGTGGTTGTCCATGTTGAGTCTTCTTTGGAGTCGTCGGGCAGAAGTGGTAGGGGTTTGATGGGAAGTAATGACGGGCATGGTTCTCCGAGCTCGGTGTCGTCCTCCTTTCTAGAAGAGTCCGATCGGTCTCCGGGGTTAAGCTCTCCTGTACATAATGAGGATCGATCCTCGGAGCCTACCTCCCCTGCGTATGCAGAGAAGAGGATCGTCTTCGGGATACCCATCCATCTTCTAAAGGGTGGTATCCCCGTAGATGATGCGCCCTTACCACCGGTCGGTAATGTGACCGCTATTCTAGGTTACGACTAGGCTCCGAACGATGCTAGCTTATTTGCATCAGAATATGGTACTAAGAAGGCGTTGACGTGGAGGGTTGGCCAGATATACATTGTCAAAGATGTGGAGGACTCTCGACAAATACGGGTCGGTGTGAGCATGAGGAACAAGCGAGTTTATCATGGGAAGGGGTCAAGCCCGGACGACTTCTTCTTCATGTATGCCAATTTTTTCGATAAGCTATGCGTCCAGATACCTTTCACCATGTTTCAAATGGCGATTCTCCAGGAGTTGAACGTTTCTCCTTCGCAACTACATCCAAATGCTTGGGCTGCCGTCCAGCCTTTCTACCTCAATTATGGGCGCAACCGAGACGTATTTCCCTATTTATTTTTAAGAACATGTTTGTTTCTACAACATTCTCAATTGCAGAAATAGACCTGCATATATTTAACAACCCATAACAGTCCAGAACAATCCAGAAGCATATATTTTCAATAAAAATTATATTAAAACATTAATCCATTCAATGTAATCACAAATCAATGTCTTAGAAGCATAAATCAATTCAATGTAATTATAAATCAACTTAGAAGCATAAATCAATCCAATGTACAAAGTTAAACTAATAATAAATGCCAAGGTAGAACTTACTATATCCTAATATCTACATACTATTATACAATTGAATTACATATTTAGCAAGTGCTTTCTTATGAGTTTAAGTGACTTCTCTAGAATTGAAGTAGTAAAATTGAATCTCTGCATAACACACAATGTTTTCTGTAACACCCCTAACTAAGTGCCACTAGAAAATAACAAAATCCAAAATTTACACCAAATT